TGGTCTGTGCCGCGGGGAGAGGTTTGGGGCGAGCCCTGAGGACCCGTTCCTGCCTGTCCGGCTCCCTCCCCACGTGCCACAGCCCCTCTCAGTGTCTAAAACCTCTTTTCTCCCCTCTTTTCTCCCCAGGTCGGCTTCTAACCAGACTCAGGGGAACGCAGGCTGGGTTCAGTTCTGACCCCGGCCCCTCGGTCGCTCTTTCCCACGTGGGTGCTGGGATCGCTGCGATTCCTTCGGGACCAAAGCAGGGGCTTGGGGACACCCCGCTCCTGCCCTTAAATCCCCGCCTCTGCCCTGGCATCGAAATGCTGAGAGAGCAAACGAACACGTGCCTTAAAACACTCCACACCAGCGCCCGCCGCCCTGGGGGGCTTGTATTTTCTACCTGGATCGCAGGAAACCTCTGAGGCTTCTCCTTTCTGCGAAAAAAAAGAAAAAAACAGCCGTCTGCTTCGTTACCTCTCCATAATAACGAGAGGCCGAGCGAGTGCTCTGAGCAGGATGACCCCCGCTCGCAGCGCTGCCCCAATTAAGCTAATTTTTTGCTGAAGGTTTGTGCGATAGAGCCTCCTTGGCGACTCCTCCGCTTTCTCCTTGCGTGTTTGGGCTGGATAAATCCTTCCCGGGGCCGGGAGCGTCCTCCTGGAGCCGTCTCGCCTGCGAAGGCCGGACGAACGCGCTGCCGAGACCCCGAGCGTCGCCCCAGGTTTTTTTTCCGAGCACTTAGCTCCGTGGTGCGGGAGGTGGGGTGCCGGCCCGCTGTGTTTCCGTGCTGAAATTCCTCATTTCTGACTCGGGGAAGTTTGTTTTGCTGGTTTTTGGGGTTTTTTTTTTCCTTCTGTATTTTGAAGACAGATTTTTCCTTCTTTCCGCGGACATTTTATGAAGCCATGTGTGCGATGAAAGACAGAATGAAGTCAGTATCTTCAGCAGAGCTGGGGTTGAGATTCCTCTTTAAACCAATAAATATTTTCTTACCTATTTATACCAAGGCCTTCCGCTGTACAAAATCCCGCTTATTTTTTTCCGTGCCTCGCATTTTTATTATTTCCATTTCCAGCTGGATGATGAGCATTTTATTTCCAGAGCTTTTACTTTGCCTGGCAGCGAGCCTGCAAACCCAGGTGAGAAATGTAACGCTTCGAAGCGAGTAATAAAATGGTTTGGATGCCAAATATGGATATATATTTTTTTTTTTACCCCCTCGGAGGGGCTGGTGAGCTTTTGTGGTTCCCCCTCCGTGCCGGTGTCGAGGAGACGGTGTCGGACAGCGAAGCACAACAGACGCCTGTTGCTTAGCAGTGGTTTTATGGTTGTGAAGGACTCCAGGAGGAGAAGGTAAGGAAAGAAATGGTGGGGGGAAAATGAGCTTTGTTGTGTTCCTAAAGGCTGGGGGCAGACTGAGGCAGCCCCTGCTTGGCTGGAGGGACCCGAGACGCCGTAAATCCGTAATCCCATCTCCTTGCCCCGGTGTCATCTCCCCATCCCGGTTCATCCGCGGCTCTCGGGGAC